TTTTAAGATGGCCGCTGTATTTGAAAATGGCGGCCATTTTCCTAAAATATGTCATCTTTGATATGATAACTCAAATACCAATGTACAGATTTTGTTCAAATTTGTTATGCTTGTGCTTAGGGGCAAAGGAGCATTGCCCAATATGGGATTTTCAAGATGGCCTTTGAATTTATGGCAGCTGTTTTTCATAATCTTTGATAACTCAAATACCAGTGAACAAATTCTGTTTAAGTTTTATATGCTAATGCCTAGGCCTTACTATGGGAAAAGAGAAGAAGCTAATGAAATATTTTGTTTTTGGGATTTTTCGCACACAGCATAGAGGATATCAAGTTCTAGAGCTGATTAACTTTTGGGTGGCCATCTTGTTTTCTAGTGGCCATTTTGAAGGTTTTTCAGATTTGTCAGATTTTCTCCAAAGGAGTGGTATCGATATGGAGAACTTTTTTTTCACACATTTCTCTTAAACCAGTATAAAAAGATCTAAAAATTTAACACATCGTCAATTTAATGGTCATCTTTTGAATGGTAACAATATAATTTGAAAAATAAATATATACTTTTTATGTCCCCACCACATAGTGTGGGGCCATATTGTCGGCCTAGGCGCGTCCGTCTGTCTGCCCGTCCGTACGTCCGGCAGTTTTCTCCAAAACCGCTACAGATATCACCTTCAAATTTTCAGGGATATTTTATGAGTGCATACAGATGTGGATGAAAAAAATTATCTCGATACCTACTTCCTGTCGGCCATTTTGAAGTCAAATGCTAAAATCCTTGTCTGCAAACTTTAAGAAAAATGGCTTCACAGTTGCTTTTAAAACTTTAACATCTTGTTCAGCTCACTTCATTCTAGATCTGATTAGGTTTTGGACCTGTTAGCTCAGTCATGTCAGCCATTTTGAATGTTTTAAGTTTAAGTTTAAAGTTAGCGCACGATAATACTTTGTATCATATTGAATGGTGTTTTTCAGTTTTCATATTTTAACTATTTAGTAGCTTTATAAATAATTTCAGGTGTACTTTGTTGTAAAAGCCTATCTTATTGTTAACAGTAGTTATATGTGATAATTTTGTAAAAAGAAATCAGCAAAAACTCATAATCACTTTTTTATTGTCTGCCATTTTGGATTTTTCCGTCCTAAAATCTTGTCTGTAAAGTCTTGTCTACGCGTTTCAGGTGAACTGTTTGGTAGATCAATTTCAAATTTTCAGGGATGATTCTTAGTATGAAAATCTAGATCTGATTTAAGTTTTTGGGCATTCTGGGTAAATGTCAAGGCAGCCATTTTGGATTTTCCGTCCTAAAATCTTGTCTGTAAAGTCTTGTCTACACATTTTCAGGTGAACCGTTTGGTAGATCAATTTCAAATTTTCAGGGATGATTCTCAGTATGAAAATCTAGATTTGATTAGTTTTTGAGCATTCTGGGTAAATGTCAAGGCAGCCATTTTGGATTCTCTGTCCTAAAATCTTGTCTGTAAAGTCTTGTCTACGCATTTTCAGGTGAACCGTTTGGTAGGTCAATTTGAAATTTTGAGGGATGAGTCTCAGTATGAAAATCTAGATCTGATTAGTTTTTTGGCATTCTGGATAAATGTCAAGGCAGCCATTTTGGATTTTCCGTCTTAAAATCTTGCCCGTTAAGTCTTGTTTACACGTTTTCAGGTGAACAATTTGGTAGATCAATTTCAAATTTTTAGGGATGATTCTTAGTATGAAAATCTAGATCTGATTATTTTCTTGGCATTCTGGGTAAATGTCAAGGCAGCCATTTTGGATTTTCTGTCCTAAAATCTCGTCTGTAAAGTCTTGTCTACGCATTTCCAGGTGAACTGTTTGGTAGATCAATTTCAAATTTTCAGGGATGATTCTTAGTATGAAAATCTAGATCTGATTAGTTTTTGGGCATTCTGGGTAAATGTCAAGGCAGCCATTTTGGATATTCCGTCTAAAAATCTTGCCCGTAAAGTCTTGTCTATGCATTTCCAGGTGAACCGTTTGGTAGATCAATTTCAAATTTTCAATGATGATTCTTACTATGAAAATCTAGATCTGATTAGTTTTTGGGCATTCTTGGTAAATGTCAAGGCAGCCATTTTGGATTTTCTGTCCTAAAATCTTGTTTGTAAAGTCTTGTATACGCAATTCCAGGTGAGCCGTTTAGTAGATCAATTTCAAATTTTCAGGGATGATTCTTAGTATGAAAATCTAGAACAGATAAGTTTTTGGCATTCTGGATAAATGTCAAGGCAGCCATTTTGGATTTTCTGTCCTCACATCTTGTCTGTAAAGTCTTGTTTACATGTTTTTGGTTAACTGTGTGACGGATCAATTTCAAATTTTCAGGGGTGTTTCTTAGTATGAAAATCTAAAACTGACTAATTTTTTGGCATTCTGGGTTTTTAAGGGGGCCATTTTGTATTTTCCGTCTTCAAATTGTGTCGGTAAAGTCTTGTCTACTCATTTTTAGGATAACCATTTGACGGGATCACCCATAGGTGGGGACATTTTGTACACATTTGTGTTCTTGTATCTATATTGTTTTAGAAAACACATCAAACACTTGTTTTGACATAAACACAACATGTCTCTCAATATTGTAATTGTACAAAGGAAATTTTGGTTGATTTTAAAAGTATTTTGTTAATGAAATAAAAGGTTTATCTTGATTTTTATCTATTTTGGGGGAATTTTGTTTTAATTTTTTGAATACTTTTTTAAAATCAACCCAAAATTCCTTTGTATAACTCTAATATTGAGAGGTCTAAAAACATGTTGTATATGCTATTTTGTTCCAACAAGGTTTCGGAAAGACATTTTATTTCATTCTCAAGAATTGGTAGAAAGGAGCAAAAACAATTGCACTAAAAAAACAAAAAATGTTAACAAAAACAGTTATATAAAATATTTCTAAATAATTTTCGCATTAGATTGTTGTCAATCAGTCAACATTACATAAAATACTGTGTTTTTTACTAAATGTTTTCCATGATTGGTTTAAGAGAAAAACATTATTGAATTCAGTTCTCCATATCGATACCAATCCTTTATTGATGTTGTATAAAATTGATGAATTTTTCTTTTAAGATACATTTTTTTTCTAATGACATATTATTTTCAATACCCTTTGCATTCGTTTGACTTCACTTCATAAAACAGAGCTTCGTCTTCGTAGTTTAACTAGACTCTGCACGCAGGATATATTTTCAAACACTAATGCCTTAATTCTATCCTCTTGCCTCCGGGGTAACAGGTTCTCAAGGCATGCTGCTCAAGGGACTTGATAAACTCACATCGTCTTGTAGAAAGGCGCCTCGGTTTAGGATGAAATGCTTAGGCGTTTCACTCTCACAACATATACAAAGGTTATCAGAGATGCCAGTAAAATTATGCACACATTTTTGAGATATGAAGTAAAGACCACATATTATTTGGTTTAAAATGATTTCCCATTTACGAAGTTGAGTTTGGATGTGGTTATAAACTTCTGAAAATCTTTTGTTTTTTTCCTTATCGTAGTTTTAAATATTGAAATTCTGGGTATTATCCTCTCCTCTTCACTTAGTTTGTTCCAGTGATTTATTAGTCTCAACACTGGGGATTTCCTTAGCCGGGCACTTGCCTTAGTTGGAATTTTGACGGGGTGGTGAGATTCTCTTACTTGTTCATTTCTGTATTTATCAAAAAGTTCAACTATGTAATCAGGTGAAAGATAAGCCTCTACATATTTCATACATAGTCTTTTCTTTTCATTTCGAGAGTTTTGAGTATATATGAGCCGTGCAGGGCTCCGGAACATATTACCGCAGCTTTGTAATGAAGTTGGTCAAGTTTAGCCAGATTTTGAAAAGTGTTACCTCCATAGATAGAGCTGCAGTAGTCCTTGTGAGAAAGGGTATATGATTTGTAAATAGTTTCAAGGTGTTTTGACTTAATTTCATGGCTTAGTGCTTTTAGAGGGTTAAGTTGTGTACTTGCTAGTTCATTTATAATGTATATCGAACTTGAGCTTATTGTTAAAAGTGAAGCCTAGGTACTTGTGGATGTTTTATAGGGAATTTGAGTCCCTTCTAATAAAGGGGCATGGGTCTAAATTATCAATGTGCCTTGGTTGAAAAATCATATGAGCACTTTTTGAGGCCTTGAATTTTAAGTGCCATTTAGTAGACCACTCTTCAAGAATGTTTAGTTTATGTTGGAGGATAACAGTTTGATTTAAGGCTGTGTCTTAAAAAGCATATGCTGAGGTGTCATCGGCGTATATGAAACACTCAGAATTTAGATTTTGCGGAAGGTCATTTATATAAAGAAGGAACAGTAGGTGACCAAGAACATACCCCTCTGGGAATCCTGTGTTGATATCGGTGATATTGGAAAATTTTGATTTTGCATCATCCACTGTAACACAGATTTTCCTTTGTGATAGATAAGATTTCAAAAGGGTTAAGGTCAGGCCAGAAATTCCATAAGCTTTAAGTTTGTGTAAGAGTAGTGCATGCGGAACAGAATCAAATGCGGAAGAAATATCTAAAAAACAGGAATTAACTTCTTAACTTCTCAAATTCATTTAAAACCTTAGTAGTGTCACTGGTCTGTAATTTTCAGTTGTCCATTCAAATTGACCAGTTCTTTTTTTCAAAATTATCTACAAGTTCTTAGAAGTTCAAATCTTACGTAAGATTGAACTCATAATATTGTGGTGCATTTTGTCACGTTATTGTGCCATGTTTAGAGTTACTTCCAACATTATGCAGTTATGGTATGTTACACCTTTGATAATTCATGTTCAAACTCTTTATAATGATATTGTGTATGTCAAGTTGTTGATTCAGAATGGAGATATAATATCCCAAGTCAAAAATGGTCATTCAGATTTCGTGGCTTGTCTGAGTTTCTGACTTACACTTACTGGTAAAAATGATGACATTTTAACATCTTTCCAGACTGAAAATCAAATGCAAAATGTTTTATATTTAGAATATTTATTCCTATTTCAGAAGAAAGAGGGCACTGATACTGAAGAAGATCTTGAAATACTTGGACATGTGGAAAAACTTCTCACAGAGTTGGGGCCAGGTAGACAGCCTTGTATTTTATGTATCATTATAATAATCCACGTAATGTCACACCAGGTAGATTTGGGCAGCCATCTAGTTTTCTGGTTGCCCATGATCTATCCATAAGATCCATAATCTAGAATTTTCAAGGTGGCGGCTGAATTTCATAATGGCCACGATTTTTCATAAAAAATTTTGATAGCTCAAATCCCAGTGAGCGGATTTGCTTCAAATTTTTATCACACCATCGGTGGGATATAGTCGTCATGATCGTTATCATGATTGTCCCGCTTTTTTGTCATCGCCATTTCAGGAAAACCACCCATCAGAAAGAATATCAAGTTCTAGAGCTGATTAACTTTTGGGCAGCAATCTTGTTTTCTGGTGGCCATTTTGAAGGTTTTTCGGAAAATCTTGTTTTCGCCATTTCAGGAAAACTGCTCATCGGATTTTTTCCAAATTCGCACACATGATACATGTTTAAAAATAATGTAATCTTTGATAAATCAAATTCCAGTGGATGGATTTGGTTCGTTTTTTATATGCTGATGCCTATGATAAAGGAGCTCTGCTCAAGGAAATATTTTCAAGATGGCCGCTATTTATCAAAATGGCCACCATTTGTCTTTAAAAATGTAATCTTTAATAAATCAACAGTTGACAGATTTCATTTCAATCTCTGCTCAAGAAGAAATTTTCAAGATGGCAGCTGAATTTTAAAATGGCTGCCATTTTTTGGAAAAAATCTAATTCAAATACCAGTGGATAAAGAATGGGTATCGATATGGCGAACTTTTTGAACACTCGTTTCTCTTAAACCAGTCATCAAGAATTTCTGAAAATCTTACAAATTGTCAATTTAATGGCCATCCTTTGAATGGTAACAATATAATTTGAAATAGATATACATGTACATACTTTCATCTATATTGTTTCAAAAAACACATCAAACACTTGTTTTGTTCTTGGTATCATGTTTCCAGAGTGAAATGAAACATCTTTCCGAACCTCATTGGAACAAAACGACATAAACACAACATGTTTAGGTCTCTCAATATTGTAATTGTACAAAGGAAATTTTGGTTGATTTTAAAAAAGTAACTTGTTAATGAAATAAAAGGTTTTTCTTGATTTTTATCTATTTTGGGGGGATTTTGTTTTAATTTTTTGAATACTTTTTTAAAATCAACCAAAAATTCCTTTGTATAACTTTAATATCGAGAGGTCTAAAAACATGTTGTATATGCTATTTTGTTCCAACAAGGTTCGGAAAGACATTTTATTGCATTCTCAAGAATTGGTAAAAAGGAGCAAAAACAATTGCACTAAAAAAACAAAAAATGTTAACAAAAACAGTTATATAAAATATTTCTAAATAATTTTCGCATTAAATTGTTGTCAATCCGTCAACATTACATAAAATACCATGACTTTTTACAGAATGTTTTCATTGATTGGTTTAAGAGAAAAACATTGTTGAATTCAGTTCTCCATATCGATACCTATCCTTTGGTTCAAATCTTATGTTCTGTTCGAGAAATTCTCAAGATGGTTGCTAATTATCAAAATATGTTTTGTTCGGTGGGATTTGCTACTCCGTGGAGTTGTTGTTTTTGGCTCACATTGTGAGCCTATGGGATCGACCAGGCGTCCGTCCGTTGGTCCGTCCGTCCGTCAACATTGGACGCACAAATTAAAACTGCTATTCGGATTGAGTCATATCCACATTCATTTTATGCATATCCATAATGCCTATTTGACCTATCATCGCCATTTCCCAAGTTCGCCCGGTTTCCGAGAAATTGCTGATTTTGATGTCAAAAAGTCAAATTTTCTGTTAATACTAGACACTTTGTTGAAGTAGAACTTTCAACAGTCATTTTCAAGAAACTTTCTCATGTATAAAGTCAATTGCAGGTTTTGTGATTGACAAGTTTCTCAAAGTTTGCCTTATAGTTGATCATTTCTTGCAATGAATTACATCATTCTAGATTTAAGCATTCCCTACATATTGCTCAATATATGTCAGCATCAAATTTTTACCATTTTTAAGATATTTGACGTAAAAAAACAGAAAAAATAAGTTATTTTTCAACTTGCTTGAATTTAACCAAGTTTTTTTTGAAAATCATCTACAAGTTGCCAGAAGTTCAAATCTGACATTAGTTTTAGGATTTGACCTTTACTTGACCTTCGGTGATCTTCGAAAGGTCAAAAAAGTTGATTTTTCAAATTGATTTTTGGATGTAAATCTTGGTCAGCTTAATCACAAAAGACCTTACTGAGCTCTGAATAAGTAAAATTTTCAAGGTCAAAGGTCATCAAACTAGGTCACACAACTGTGCTATCTTAAGTTTCTCAAAGTTCGAGACTACAAATCCAAATCAATATTTTTGTTTGAAAGTCAGTATATACATTCCTCTGAAGGTTCCAAACTGTGTGAGCACAGGACCGCGGGTCCTTTATTTTAGTTTAACACCAGGTTCCAAGCCTTGTATTTTATTATGTCCCCACCACATAGTGTGGGGCTTTATTGTCGGCCTAGGCGCGTCCTTCCGTCTGTCTTGTCTGTCTGTCCGTCCGGCAGTTTTCTCCAAAACCGCTACAGATATCACCTTCAAATTTTCAGGGATAACTTATGAGCGCGTACAGATGTGGATGAAATTTTTTTAACTCGATACCTACTTCCTGTCGGCCATTTTGAAGTCGAATGCTAAAATCCTTGTCTGCAAACTTGTTCAGCTCACTTCATTCTACATCTGATTAGGTTTTGGACCTGTTAGCTCAGTCATGGCAGCCATTTTTAATGTCCTAAGAAAAGTTAGCGCGCGATAATACTTTTTATCATATTGAATGGTGTTTTTGAGTTTTCATACTTTAACTATTTAGTAGCTTGATAAATAATTTCAGGTGTACTTTGTTGTAAAAGCCTATGTTATTGTTAACAGTAGTTATATGTGATAATTTTGTAAAAAGAAATCAGCAAAAACTCATAATCACTTTTTTATTGTCGGCCATTTTGGATTTTTCTGTCCTAAAATCTTGTTTGTAAAGTCTTGTCTACACGTTTTCAGGTGAACCATTTGGTAGATCAATTTCAAAATTTCAGGGATGATTCTTAGTATGAAAATCTAGATCTGATTAGTTTTTTGGCGTTCTGGATAAATATCATAGGCAGCCATTTTGGATTTTCCATCTTAAAATCTTGCCTGTAAATTCTTGTCTACGGGTTTTAAGTTAACTGGTTGGTAGATCAATTTCAATTTTTTAGGGATGATTCTTAGTAGGAAAATCTAGATCTGATTGGTTTTTTGGTATTCTGGTTAAATGTCAAGGCAGCCATTTTGGATTTTCCATCCTAATTCTTGTCATTAAAGTCTTGTCTACGGATCTTTAGGTGAACCGTTTGGTAGATCAATTTCAAAGGAGCACGTAGGTTATCGCAAACAATTTCAGAAGGTTATATCTTGGATAATGACTATTTTCTGACAATGAAGACAGGTTTATCTTTTAGATCAATTCATTATCTCAAAGAAAATTATATACTGTAATAATAAAATCAAACATACTCGGAGATATTTAACTAGCAATCAACCCATCAACACACTTTTTCAAAGATGTTGACCCCATTTTCACCAAAAATGCAATTATTTTTTACAATGTTTAATGCATTACTATTTTCAATTTTGATGTATCAAATAGTTCTTGAAAGAAAAACTTAATTGCTTTAAGATAAGTGTTCCCCATGTTATTTCTCCATTGAAAAATCTCATGCTATCCATTGGTTTCAGTTCATTTTGGTCATCCGAATTCAGTATCTTTAAAGTCCATGGAGCAATCAACTTTTCCTTTAAGGAAATCGAACATGTCTCAAAGCACATTCTAATTATGCATTCTACAATATAATAAAAGGTTGCATTTTTGGTGAAAATTAGGTCAACATTTTTGAAAAAGTATGTTGATTGGTCCATTGCCCCTTCAATATCACTTAGGTCTGATTGACTAAATTATCAATATATAAACTTTTCTTGAAGATAATGAATGGATCTAAAAGATACACCCATGTTCATGATCAGAAAATATTCATAATTCAAGTTAGAATCATTTGAAATTGTTTGCGATAACCTACATGCTCCTTTTCAGGGATGATTCTTTAAGTATGAAAATCTAGAACTGATTAGTTTTTTGACATTCTGGGAAAATGTCAAGGCAGCCATTTTGGATTTTCCATCATAAAATCTTGTCTGTAGGAAAAATGTTATGGGTAACCCATGTGTTTCACATAACTTCCCATATTGTTACCCATAATGTTACCCATAACCCAAAGTACCCATAACATAAGGGTAATTGATCCTGTATCCATCCTAATTTCTTTTGGTAAGGACTTATATCATATAATGAGTAAATAATGGTTTTAAGTTATGCCATAATTACCCATTACATATTCAAAATCAGTAATCATCCATATTACAAAATATCATGGTTAAGTGCAAATCACATTAAGGATGGTCAATAGATAAATAGAAAAATCTTAAATCTTTTGATTTAAATCTTTTTACCTTTCTGTTATAATAGTTTTTCAAAAATACCCCAATTAACGTTTTAAGTCATGAAAAGTAGAAAATGAATAATAAAACATAGTTCTAAATTTTGCATGAGGAATCAAGATCTTTTATATATCTATTGTTGTTTTATTATTATTACTTATGAATGCTGTTTCGAGAATATAACAACTTTTGGACAAAATGACCCACAATGTTGATAAACTGCATCCATTTGAACTACACCCTGGCTATGGCTCTGACTCGGAAGATATGTGCCTGTTATGTTTAGATAATGTGACCATTATGTATTGGTAATGTGGAAGTTATTTGTATGTTATGGGGCCGATAGAGTCAAAAAAATATTTCTAAATTATTAAAAGATGAATTTTTGCAAACACTACCAAAAAGCCCTCAATTTAAAAAAGTAAAGATTCTAATGTATAAGAAAGACATGAATTTTCAATATTCATGATATATGTACAGATTGTTTCAATGAAAGATTACAGAAAGAAAGATTATTGGTATTGGTATTTTAAGATTTAGTATAAATGATATGAAAAAACTTGTCATATTGTTCAGCATTCTATTAAGAATAGTATCTCCCTTCAGAAAAATAGGAACAAAGCTGAAAATCTCGATCACCCATAATTTATGGGTAACACATAATTAACACATAGTCGCTAACCATGCTTAGCACGTAACATCTTCTTATGTTAAATTATGAGTATGTCATTGTTTTAACATGTAGGTTTTAACCATAACTATTGGTCATGGGTAACACTATGGGTTATGGATATATAAACCATAAATGACCTCATGAATGACCATTATTAACACAATGGGTAATACCCATAATATTTTTCCTAATGTTCACACGTTTTCTGGTTAACTGTTTGACGGATCAATTACAAATTTTCAGGGGTGGTTCTTAGTATGAAAATCTAAAACTGACTTATTTTATGGCATTCTGGGTAAATTTTAAGGTGGCCATTTTTGATTTCCCGTCCTCAAATTGTGTGGGTAAAGTCTTGTGTACTCATTTTCAGGATAACCATTTGACAGGATCACCCATTGGTGGGGATATTTTGTACACATTTGCATTCTTGTGTGTCATTATATAAATACATGTTATTTAACACCAGGTAGACAGCAATGTATTTTATGTGTAATTTAACGGTCTGAATCTTTTCTCAGAAGGACTGTGAGAATCTATAAAACGATTTAATTAATGGAGGGACTCAGCCAAATTGAATGAACTAACCTGAGCGCAGAGGTTAGTTATAAAGTAACCTCTGAATGGTCACAGCCGAGGTCATAACTCAATTCAAACCAACTGCACTGACATTTTTTCAACCAATCAACAAACAGAAAGAAACAATCACTTCAGAGGATATTGCCACTAGCATATAGAGAAAGTCGTCCTTCTTTCTATGACAAGCTCTGGTTAACTCAGCAAGTTCAAATGTTTTAAGAAGCAAAGTCAAACAAATATGAATGGCAGAAAGAACATAATAGAGGGTTAATTCTCAATGTTTCAATGAATATCTGAAGGATTTCGCTAAAATTTCCCGCGCTAAAACCCCCTAAAATTAAAAAATCGCTAAAATTTCCCGGTGTCAAAATAATCCGTTTTACAGTAAGTATTCTTTACAATATCATTTTCACACCGAGGGAATTTTCGTCTGCATGATAACTCAAATATACCGATTGATGCATTTGTTTAAATGTTTATAGGCTTATATCTTACAAGTGTAGCGGAGGAGCTCTGCTCAAGAAGAAATTTCAAGATGGCTGCTGAATTTCAAAATTTTGAACCCAAAATTTAAAATGTTAAAATGGCCAAATTTCTTAAAAATAGGCTCAAACTTAATAACGCCCAGTAATGCTGGTTTATTATGTCACCGCCAAAAAGTGAAGACATATTGTTATGGTCTCTGTTTTTTTGTGACAGCAGTTAGTGGTTGGTGTCTGTAACAAATTCTTAACTTACAATAACTTAACATTAATACTGTTTAGACTGACTTCAGTTTTTTCAAAATCATCTACAAGTTTTGAGAAGTTCAAATCTGACCTTAGATTTAAGATTTGACCTTTTCAAGGTCAAAAAAGGTTTACGATTGGCGGATGGCATCTGTAACAAATTCTTACAACTTCCAATAACATAACACATACTGTTTAGACTGACTTCAATTTTTTTCAAAAAGTTTCAGAAGTTCAGAGCTGATCTAAGATTTAAGATTTGACCTCCAATGACCGTTAGAAGGTCAAAAAGGTTAATTCAAAAAGGTTTTTTTCAACTTGCTTCAAATTGATTAATCAGATCAATTCAATTAATTTTTGATAACTCAAATGGTTCAACTTTTATATGCTGATGCCATATGGACATACACAGATCTCTGCTCAAAAGAGAATTAATATATGGTGTCATATATGGTTATTTCTACTCCATGGAGTTGCTGTATTTTAGGGAATGTATCAATTAATGATAAAAAATGAGTGCTTTAATTAGGGGATGGGGTAGGAAGACATTAATGTGTGTTTGGCCTTAATTGATAGAATGCAAAAATCACCAAAAGTTGTTTCTCCTTGTAAAGATATTTTTAAGACTTTTGTTATTAGAAGTGAGATCCTTAGTTTCCTAAAAGTGTATTTTACCACTTGATCTTTGAATGAATTTCATCTCATGCTGGCCATTACCAGCATGAGATGTTATGGATCTTTACTGGACAAAACTGAGGGTAAGTACACGAGTCATTCAAGGGCATAAATCGATGTTTGATACATTTCCTACTTTACATAGTATACTTAATGGGAGGGCTATTTCATTTGGAGTTATTCTTATTCCAGGTGAAACTGAAGGTGAAGATGAGGAAGAAGATGCAGGTAACAGAGGAACAGTTGAAGATGATATAGACTTTGAAACAGACTCAGATGAAGAACCTATGGATCACTAATTTATCCCTTTCTGTACAAACCATATGCAGGGTGATAAGTCATTAGGTGTTTGAATGTGGACATATTTTGCTTTTTAAAGAATGGTTTAGAGTTGTTTCATTGTCTGAAAATGGACATTACAAAGTAATGTGTAATATATTTTAAAACAAATTAAATAGAAGTGTTTTATCTTGTGATGAACATTCATGCCTTGATCACAAAGGACATATCCCAAATGCTCACCAGAGCAAAGAATTGCCATATTAAGTCTCACACTAACTAACTGGGTAATGTTGTCGCAACTTTTTATTGTACCTAAAAAAAATTGACGGGGGTGCAGGCAGGACAGGTGGGAGGGCCGGCAGCGTCTCACTTTCTTGTCATCATGATTCCAGAAAAACCACTTGACGGATTTACTTCAAATTTTCACACATGTTATATGGTAAGAACACTGGTGATCCACTCGATTACTCTAGTTACCAAAACGAATCGTTTTGGTAACAAAATGCCTGCCGTTCCGGCTGAAGAAAACGGTAAGAATTTTCGTTTTCCTTGATATCTCGAGATACAGCATGAATCATCCATATCTTTTCGGCCAAAATATGGGTAAGCAATATATCTTTCTGGACAACCAAGTGATTTTGCTCGAAATAGTTTGTAGGATAGCAGGAACGCCAAAATAATTCCTCGCTTTGGTTACATAAACGAATTGGTTGAAAATTGATCATAATACGACAACGGACAGACACAGTTACCTAAACGATAACTAATATTTCTATTTAACGAGTTGTTTTCTACATACCTTCATCTTGCCAAGATGGTTGCTCGATTTAGATTGATGAATAGAGAAGTAACATTCTCAGTATGAACATACCAAACCAGGTGGTAGAGCCCGTGGTATGAAAAAGGAAATATATGCTGACATGACTGACTGACTGTGCCCTTGATTGAAATCTTTGAAAAGATCAATAACTACCATGACATTGTTTGTTCCCCGTGTGTTTGAATTTAATATGTTGGCCCAAAATCACTTGGCATACATTGGGTTACAGTATACAATTATTGACCTCTCCAGAGGTTTACTGTCAAAATTATATCCCGAGACTGTAAACCGAGACCGTAGGTCGAGGTTTACAGTCGAGGGATATAATTTTGACAGTAAACCGAATGGATAGGTCTATAATTGTTTTGTTAGTCCGAAGAATATCTTAGATTTTTCTGACCCTTGAAGTTGACTTGAAGTTGGATCCAGACCCTCGAGACGTTCATACGGCAGTAAGTTCACTCAATGGAGTCAAATTACTCTCCTGGGCGAAGTCCACTAAAAGCTTTGTACAAAGTTTTAGATTTTTCTTCGTATTTTGACTGTCTTTACTCTCTAAGAGACTAATAATATCCTCATCTTCAACATTTTTGAAACGGCTAGTGCTAGCGGCGGCCATTTTATCGTCTGATAATGACGTCATTTTAGTGGAATGCTGGGAATATTATTCACCGGCAATGCATTGCGCGGTGTACAGTTAAAATTATTCACCGCTCGTTGACCAATCAAAATCGAGTATTTCAACTGAGGTACTAACAATATACAATTGTTGACCTCTCCAGAGGTCAACCGGCAAAATTGTATACCGAGACTATAAACCGAGAAACTACTGTTAATAGAGACCGAAGGTCGAGGTCAACAGTAGTTTCAAGGTTTACAGTCGAGGTATATGATTTTGACGGTTGATCGAAAATGTGCCTCAGAGGCACTCAAAATATTAACTGTAAGTAAACTGTGTATAAACAAGCCATGAAATGACAAATCCAGAACAGGAATGGTGTGTATATTGTAAATAATAAGGTTTCAAACACAATGTCGTTAGACGACTACGTTTGACTTCTATGGAATTCTATGGACGGTAACTTATTGTATTAGTTGTACATTAGATATTTAGCGGGCGGTTACGTGCATGTACATCTGTCAAGTCAACGGGTTGCTAGATCTGATAGCCTCTTTCCATGTTATTGTTATAATGGGTAAGAAATGGAATATTGAATTTTTATTATACTTGTTTTCAGGACTCGCAAGAGACGCTCTTGTTTCAGCCTCTATAGGGCAAGGAAAAAACTGTGGCTTGCTTTATTTATGAAACCAATGAAAGTGAAAAAGATAACAATGAAGAGGCAAAAAAAGATTTAGCATCAAGTATTGATGAAGATGACAAAATTAATAACAATTAATCGGGGTTTCATATTTGAATCAAGTTGCGTAACCGTCCATCAATTTTATACGTTACCGCAAATTCAAAATACATTATTATGGCTTGAGGAGAACATATTAGGTGGTTTCCAATGCCCAATTGGCTTTGTATGATCGTATGTGGGTTGCATCTATGGTTGTTAGGCAATGTAGACCATGCCCTAACAACAAAAATAATCAAATTACTAAAATTTTGTGTAGTTTTGAATTTCAAACTCGACAGTTTTTCTCTTATTTCATTTTATCCCCGGGCATCAATTTGCAAAGACTACGTTCAAAATATAGATTACTGAATGCATCACCGAATGCGAGGCGTACATAAATAGAGCACGGTCTTGCCTATATGGAGAAATAATGAACGTTCATTATTGGCTATGCTGCATTCTGATTGGTTTAGAAATTCAAATAGAGCACGGTCATGTTTGAATATTCTTTATTTTGATATATCAATGAGTTATTGAAATGAAAATTGAACTCTCTTAAGATGAGTGTTCACAATGTTATTTCCCCATTTAGAAAAACAATTGGTTTCAACTCATTTTGGTCATCCAAAGGATGTGTCTGGGTATATGCCCTTTTGGTCCCTCGGTCAAATGTATGTGAAATATGTTTTTTATTACTGTCCTAGTTATATTGATAAGTATATTTACTTTTTCACGAGTTATGATGCATAATTAACCCCCTGCTGAGAGTCAGAATAAGTATCTTAACAAAACAAAAAATAGTCATTATCATAGAAAAAACACCAATGGCAACATGTATGACTTACAAAGAAGAAATAACTTAAGACCCATGAAGAATTTAAAAGAAAATCATGTTTTTGAAATATATATAAGGATTTAATTTTTTTTCAAATTTTTGAATTTCCCGCCAGTTTAATTTGAAGGGGGAAAAACAAGATGGCTGCCATTTGATGTCAGAAATATCAGAAAAAAGTTGCTTCACTTTTAGTTTTTACAATGAGCACAGTTTTCCGGTTTAGGATTTTTGACTGATTCTGACTCTTCATCACCAGAGTCATGTATAGAGATTATAAAATTGAAACCAAAATGTTGTGCTCAGCATGAATTTGACTGAAATATGTGTAACTTCACCAACACAATTGAAGTGTCAAAACTGGATGCTCAGTAACTTTGAGTGACTATAATCCCTTGATTACCCAGATAAACACCAATTCACTTATCCAGAAATTCCATTCAATGTCTATACAAAGAAAGTAAGCAATGTTTTGGAGGATATGTTTCAAACCTTTTGTATAAATAATTCATTTAATATTTGCCTTTGATTTTTTTTCAATTCTGACAAAGTGGTATGCACTGTCTTTGATGCCAATATTCTTCATTAATTATCCCATCGAACGAAGTTCGGAGGGATATAGAGAACGCCTCCGTCCGTCCGTCCGTACGTACGTCCGTCCGTCCGTCCGTCTGTCCATCCGTCCGGGCAATAACTCAAATACCGTTGGCCCGATTTTGTTTATATTTTGGACACATATACCCTATGGGGGTAGAAGTTCTGCTCGAAAGCCAATTTTCAAAATGGCCACTCATTTAAAAATGGCGGCCATTTTAGTGCCGATTTTACTGTAATTTAGGTGCAATATGTAAAACTGTAATAGCAATATGTTTTAAATGTAAAAAAATTATATAGAACATTGATAAAGCTAGAAATGTAGATATTAAAGAAGCACATGGCAGCCATCTTGAAAAATGGCGGCCTTTACTCATTATCTTACGATTTTTGCTGTAACTCAAGAAGTAGTAGAGTGATTTTGTTCATATTTGGTATGTGAATACTATAAGCATGGCTCACTGTTTAATGACACTTTTGGTAGGAGGCGGTCATTTTGAAAAAATGGCCACCATTTTGAAAAATGGCCGCCATTTTAACATATTTTACTATAACTCAAAAATTAGTGGAGCGATTTTGTTCATATTTGGTTTGTGAATACTATAAGCATGGCACACTGTCTAATAACACTTTTGGTAGAAGGCAGCCATTTTGAAAAATGGCCGCCACTTTAACGTATTTTACTTTAACTCGAAAAGTAGTGGAGCGATTTTGTTCATATTTGGTATGTGAATAATATAAGCATGGCACACTGTCTAATGACACTTTTGGTAGAAGGTGGCCATTTTGAAAAATGGCTGCCATTTTAACGTATTTTACTATAACTTGAAAAGTGGTGGAGAGATTTTGTTCATATTTGGTATGTGAATATTATAAGCATGGTACACTGTCTAATGACACTTTTGGTAGAAGGTGACCATTTTGAAAAATGGCCGCCATTTAAACGTATTTTACGCGGCCTTTACTTGTTATTTTACAATTTTTGCTGTAACTTGAAAAGTAGTGGAGCGATTTTGTTCATATCTGGTATGTGAATACTATAAGCATGGCACACTGTCTAATGACACTTTTGGTAGAAGGCGGCCATTCTGAAAAATGGCCACCATTTTAAAGTATTTTACTATAACTCGAAAAGTAGTGGAGCGATTTTGTTCATATTTGGTTGTGAATGCTAGAAAAAAAGCATATTACTTCTGATGACAACTTGATGAAAATGGTGGCCTTTCTTATGTGTGTTATTTTATGATATTTGCTATATATTTCGTTTGTAAAAATCCCAGCCATTTCTGTTCGATGGGATTCGCTACGCTTTGGCGTTGCCGTTGTTCTGGTTGTGATACAAATTGATATTTTTGTACTCTCAGAAGAAGGATAAGATATTGAAGTTTAATAATATGTGTGATTGAGTTGGTTTTTCAGACATTACAATTTTCAATATTTTCTAAGTCGATACCCAGACTCATTCCCAGACTCATCCTTTAGTATCTTTTAAGTCACTATATCCACTATATTCAACTTCTAAAATAATCAATAATCTATGGAGCAATAGAACCGGTCCGTCTTCTCGCTGCAAGCAGGATGAAATTCTTTGTCACAAAGTTTGGCATTTTTTATAAAATCAAACGCGCGTCATTGAAACTCACAAGATGTAAATAGCATGTCATTTACATCATACCTTGATGGGGAAAAATAGATCTTAGCATATATTTCAAATTAGACACGAGGAAGTCAATATTGAGCAAGTTATGGCTGTTTTAAATTCAAATAAAATCGTTAACCCGTACCGGTCCAGCTTTTGACCCGTACCGGTCAATTTTCGTTAGCTGCGTATACCAAGGGTGCATGATAAAGATGGATAAATCAATTATATTTATCAAATATAGTTTAGTTTAATATGTTT